AGTTACTGAAGAGTTTAAAATGAAGTCAGGAGAGGTAGGTGGTCAATGGCTCATGGCCTGGAGTCGGACTTAGCTGTGATGAGTGCATCCCCATGGCTCCCTTCCACTTATTGAACAAGTAAGTTACTTTAACCTTTCTAAGCCCCAGCTTTCTCATCTGCAGGACAGGGTTAATCTAATTTACCTCGCACAAAGTTGTGGTAAGGATTAGAGACAATATATATAAAATGCCAGACATTTGGTAGGCTCTCAGAAATGTTGCTTATCCTTAAAGTAGCATCAAACATATGTTAAGATGCTAAAGGGATGCCACATAGAGCAAGGGGGTCAGAGCACTGAGGGGTGATGAGATGAACAGTTCATCCAGGGCAGGGATCTTAACCCTGGCTACGCCTAACAGTTCCCTGGGGGAGCTTTGCGATTATATAGATGCCCGGGCCCCACTCAGACCAATAAAGCCTAGTGAGGCCCGGGGCTGGGTAGACTTTATAAAAGCTGCCCAGGTGGATCTGTGTGCATCCAGAGCTGAGAACCACTGTCCAGGGGGTGTTTGAAATGAGATTTGGAAAGGAAAGGTAAGGCAACTGACATGCATTGAGTTAACTTGTTTATGCTAGGTGCTTTCACAATTCAGCTCATCTAGGTTCTCCCAAGAATTATCTGAAACAGGTACTTTCTTTTTTTAAAGTTTATTTATTTTTGAGAGAGAGAGAGTGAGAGAGAAAGAACACATGTGTACAACTGGAGGAGGGACAGAGTGAGAGAGAGAGGGAGACAGAGAATCCAAAGCAGGCTGCAGGCTCCAGGCTCTGAGCTGTCAAGCCTGGGGCTTGAACTCACAAACTGTAAGACCATGACCTGAGCTGAAGTCAGATGCTTAAGCAGCTGAGCCACTGAGGTGCCCCTGAAGTAGGTATTTTTAATTCCATTTGAAACAAAGGGAAGCAGGGGTGCCTGGGGGGCTTAGTTGGTTAAGCGTCTGACTTTCACTTAGGTCATGATCTCACGGTTCGTGGGTTCGAGCCCCGCGTCAGGCTCTGTGCTGACTGCCAGCTCGGAGCCTGGAGCCTGTTTCAGTCTGTGACTCCCTCTCTCTCTGACCCTCCCCTGCTCACGCTGTCTCTCTCTCTCTCTCTGCTAGAAATAAATAAAAAAAAAAAAAAACATAAAAAAAAATTTGAAACAAAGGGAAGCAGAGATTTAGAAAGGTCACTGAGATCTGTCCACTACCCAGCACACTTTTTATGCATAGTAGCCACATTAAAAAAATATATTATGGGATGAAACTGGGTATTATATGGAAACCAACTTGATGATAAACTATTTTTTAAAAAAGGATAAAAAACATATGATCGTCTTTACAGATGATCAAAAGCATTTGACAAAACATGATGGCTTTCATCATAATACTGTCAAGAAAGCAGGATTAGAAAGAACTCATCTCACACTGGAGGTGTTTTCATGTATGAAAAGAAAACATGCTGACATCATATCAGTTGTGAAGATGTGATAACTTTTTCTCTAAGATCAGGAAGGAGATAGGAATATCCACTTTCGTCACCTTTATTCCATATAGTATTGAAAGTGGTAGTCACAGTAATAAGATAAGAAAAAGAAATAAAAAGCATCCAAAGTGTTAAAAAAATTAAAAAGAAACAGGAAAAATTTTAATGTTTTTTATTTAACTCAATATATCCAAAATATTATTTCAACATGTAATCAAAATAAAAATTATTAATGAGATATTTACATTACTTTTCCCAGACTGAGTCTTCACAAACTAGTGTATATTTTACACTTCTAGCACATCTCAGTTCAGATTAGCCACAAGTGTTCAATGTGGCCCATGTGGCTAGCGGCTACAGTATTGGACTGGCTAAAACAACAGTTGACCTGGAACCCCCCTGGGCAGATAGTAAGAGGCAGTGGGAAAGACCTATGGGTGGGGGCTGAGGAGTATCCGGATTGGCCAAGAGGTTCTTAAGTGAAAGGATGTCCTGTAACCTGGTGGCTGAGATAACATTTGATGGCTGGGGAGTTTGGAGACAACCCATAGCCAGAATAAGAAGTCCCCCTGGACAGCCGCATGCAAAAGAATAAAATGGGACCTTTATGTTACATCATACACAAAAATCAACTCAAAATGGATTAAAGACTTAATCATAAGACCAGAATCTATAAAATTCCAAAAAGAAAACCTAAAGGAAAAGCTCCTTGACATTGGCCTTGGCAATTAGTTTTTGGATCTGACACCAACCTCAAAGGCAACAAAAGCAAAAATAAACAAGTGAGACAACATCAAACTAAAAAGTTTCTGCACAGCAAAGGAAACAAGGAATAAAATAAAAAGGCAACCTACAGAATAGGACAAAATATTTGAAAGTCCCACATCCAGAAAGGAGTCATATATATATACATATACATGCATATACATATCTCACAACTCAATAGCAAAAAAAAAAAAAAGAGTAACCCAATTAAAAATTGGGTAAAGGAGGGGCACCTGGGTGGCTCAGTCGGTTGAGCGTCTGACTTCAGCTCAGGTCATGATCTCGCAGTTTGTGAGTTCAAGCCCCGCGTTGGGTTCAGGCACTGACAGCTGACAGCTGTAAGGCACTGACAGATCAGAGCCTGGAGCCTGCTTCAGATGCTGTCTCCCTCTCTCTGCCTCTCTCTTTCTCTCTCTCTCTCTCTCATAAATAAATAAACATTAAAAAAGTTTTTTAATTGGGCAGAGGACCTGGATATTTTTCCAAAGACTTACAAATAACCAACAGTTATATGAAAAGTTACTCAACCTCGCTAAATGTCCAAGAGACGAAAATCAAAACCACAATGTGATACCATCTCACAACAGTTACGGCTGTCTATTATCAAGACAAGAGATAACCGGTATCATCAGGATGTGATAAAAAGGGAATCCTTGTAGACTGTTTGTGGGAATGCACAACCCACATTGGCACAACCATCATGGAAAACAGTATGGATGTTCCCCCCAGAATTAAAAACAGAACTACCATTTGATCCCACAATCCCACTTCTAGGTATATATCTAAAGGTAATGAAATTACTACACCAAAGAGATCTCCAGTTCCATGTTCACTGCCACATCATTCACAAATAGCCAAGGTATGGAAACAACCAACATGTCCATTGACAGGTGAATGGATAAAGAACATGTGAGATGTGTATGTGTACACACACACACACACACACACACACACAATGGAATATTATTCATCCATAAAAAAGAAGGAAATTACTTGCAACAACATGAATGAAAGTACCAGGCATTATACTAGGAGAAATAAGTCAGACAAAGAAAAATACTATATGGTATCATTTATAGGTGGAATCTAAAAACAAAGTCAACCCCCTAGAAATAGTAGAATAATGGTTACCAGGAGTTAGAAGGTAGAAGAAACAGGAAAGTATTGGTCAAAGGGTACAAATCTTTAGTTGTAATATGAGTAGGTCCTGGGGATCTAATGTACAGCGTGGCAATTATTGTTGATAATACAGTGTTGTATGCATGAAATTTGCTAAGAAAGTAAATCTTAGCCCTTCTTACCCTACAAAAGGTAAAAAACTATGTGAGGTGATGGTTGTGTTGATTAACTTAATTGTAGTAATCATTTCACAATGTATACAGATATCAGATTATCATATTGTACATTTTAAATATATACAATTTTATTTGTCAATCACACCTCAATAAAGCTGGGCTGGAGGAAAAGTCCAAAGAAGAAGGAAACCCCAGCAGGCGACTATCCCCATAAATAGGACTGGGAACCTTGGCCCCTGCCCTCCAGGCCCTTGAGGAGACCCCAGGCAGGAGCTGCAAGTGTGAATTTACCGCTGTTTTACAGTTCTTTTGGTTTGGTTCCCCACTCAGGAAGCAGACTTACACCAGATCCTCCCCTCCTCCCCCCAGCCCTGCAGCCCATAAAGGGTAATGGAGCTGAAGTTAAAATAGTTACATGAAACCCACCTCATTTGAAAGGGCACCTGCTTTAAAGGCCAAATTTCCTGAGCCCAGGTTTATACATTAAGCTACAGAAAGACCTAATTAATTCAGACCCCACTGACTCTGAATTTGGGATAAAGTCGGCCTCAGGCTGGTCTGAAGTCTTTCCTTTTGCACTATCTATGAAGAAGTGGTTTGCTAAGCAAATAAATAGTGCAGGCCAGATTACAGAGACAAGTCTGGTTTACTTAAAAGTGTTTTTGAGAACTGTAAGAATTGCTTTAGCAGCCTCATTCACAGAACGTTAATGAGATCATTACAGCTGGCCCTCATCAATTTATTTCAACATTTCAGTTTTCCAAGAGCATTCATACACATTATTTGATGTGACCCCTTGGGTGGAAATCCTGTTATTTTTCAGTCTCCAGGAACTGACTTGAGGCTTGGCACACAGTAGGCACTTAATGGTTGCAAGGTGAATGGAGGCAAATAATAGTAGTCCCATATTACAGATGAGAAAAATGAGTCTCAGTTTTGTTTATAATATATCTTGGGGCACCCCTACACACATGGCTAATAAGTAAAATTGGGGTTTAAGTCATTCCTTGCTTTCTGGATCTTTCCACTCTATTATACAGTAATCTACCCTTATCTGCAGGAGATCCATTTCAAGACCCCCATGGACGCCGGAAACTGCAGATAGAACCAAAGCCTAGAGATACTATGTGTTTCCTATATGTACATTTCTATGATCAAGTTTAACTTCTAAATTAAGCACATTAATTTAGACACACCAACAACATTAACTAATAATGAAATAGAACAATTATACTGTAAAAGTTATGTGAATGTGGTCGGCCTAAATATCTTCGTAGGCTGTACTCACCCTTCTTCCTGCGATGGTATGAGATAATAAAATGCCTACACTGAGACGAAGCAAGATGAATGACATCTAGGCATTGTAGGCATTGTGACATTGTGTCAGGCTACTATTGACTTTCCGATGATAGTCAGGAAGGTCATCTGCTTTCGGACCAGCCATGGCTGACCTCGGGCAACTGAACCTGAAGACAGCAAAACTGTGAATGAGGGGTAGTCACTGTACTGTTATCGGGATTATAACTTAACAGCTGAGTTTGAGGAAAAGTCTGTTTTTAGGAACAACAACAAAAAGCCCAATGTTTCTTGTGTAAACAGACTTTTCTCCAGGTAAAGGAATCTGTGAGTCCTGGAACCAGCGGCTCCCCACTACCCAGCCTCAATCCCCTTCTTTCTGGAGCATGGGAGGCCTTTTTGAGCAGGCCTGACTATAAAACAGGTCGCCTACCAAGCGTGGCTGTTGGGATGTCAGGACCAGAGTAGGTGAGTTTCCTCCCTGTGGTGGGGGGGAGCGCTGGAAGAAACTGCTCCAAACTGATATAAGCCAGGCAGCTTCAGGGATCACTTCCCAAGGCTCCAACCTCCCCAGAAAGGCCAGTCTCTGTCCTCTGGGTCTCCCCTGCCCCAGAGCCAGGGAACAGCCTCTGTCCACTGGGTTTCTCAGGCCTCCGGATTGGGGGGAGGAGGCTGGTGAAGCAGGGAAGATGGTTGCGGTCTCTCCCCACCCTTTGTGCTGGCGGCTCAGCCGGCTTGGAACACTGCACAGAGAAAATTCCCTGACCGTGAGATCTACAGGCTGCAGGGTCCCGGGGGAAGGCTGGGCCTGGGGCTCTTTCGTGCTGCAGCTGGAAACAGGGGTTGGGTTTCAGTGAGCTGGACTGGAGAAAGCAGCCTGCCTTCCAGGCGGTGAGGGAGCTGGCCCTGCGAGTCAGTGGTGCCGACAGCTTCCTGTCGAGAGCTGAGGGTCCACGTGACCGCTCCCCACTCCGTGGATTAGGGGGTGAAAGGCCCAAGGGGAGGGAGAGCAGGAGGGGCACCCAGGGGCTCTCTGGCCTGGCTGGAGGAGTGAGGCCAAGCATCGAATCCTTTTTCGTTAAATGAATTCTGCTGCCTCCTTGTCACATGGTCCAGTAAGCCACCTCTCTCTGTGGAGGGGGAGGGGTGCAGTGAGCCTTGGCACTGATTGGAGCCATGGGCTTCCCCCGCAACACCTGGCCACACACATCCACACCATGCTCGACAGAGAGGGAAGGCAGTGGCTGCAGACCTACTCAGTGAAGAGACAGGCTTTGACGGTGACAGGGGACAGACAGGTGACTGGGCTGAGGGCGGTGCATAGGGCTCTGACCTCCCTGGCCTCTCTGCCAACTGCTCCCTCCAGGCCAAGGCTCCATGTATCAGGCCTGATCTAGAGATGCCCTTGTTCTGTTCAACAAGCATTTATTGAGCACCTACTGTATATGGCAGTGAGCATAGAGACAAGTCAAATACAGACTTGCCTTAAGGAGAGACTTGAGATGATAAGGTCTGAGTGTGACAGGGTACAGTGGGGGCACAGAAGAGGGCACCTAGCTAGGCCTTGGGGCTCAGAGTGAGCTTCCTGAATAGATGGTGACTCTGAGGAGGGAGGGAGGGGCTATTGGAGGGGAGGACAGTTCAGAGGTGTTCCCTGAGGACCCAGTGTGGTGGTGGATTTCCAGGGGCAGCGTCAGATCCACCTGTGTGCAGGTCACTTTTCCCTCTCCATCCCTGTTCCACCACCACTTCCCAAGAGATGGCCTAGGATCAGGGAGCCAGGAAGCACCAGACAGCTTCCCAACTGGCCTGGGCTGGCCAGGGTTTCTGGGTCAGCTAAGTTCACTTCCCCTCCCCTGTCCACATCTTTGTGAAGGATGCATTGGATGGCAGGGAGAGAGAAGGGGCTGCCACTCAGGCCACCAGGCCTCCACCACCCTTCCTCCACAGCCCCAGAGCAAAAGCCCACACCACCCAACACCTCTCTGACATCTGAGCGTGTGTACTGGTAAATGCTACCGTGGAACTTTGGAACCTCTACTGCCTCTGCTTTGGGATTTCTGGTGTGGCTTGGTCTGCCCTGTAGGTAATTTTTACCCCACGTTCCAGGTCTGTCGTTTACACAGCTCAGCCTTCCATGGGGTAAGAACAACATGCTTTCCTTTCCACCAAAGGCGCTATGGAAAACACCTAGTCTGAGAGGGGAGACAGGTGGAAAGGCCACGTGTGTTGTCGACCTCATTCTGATGGGCTCCTCCGTGCAGAATGCCTGTCTGTGAGGCCCTCTTCAGAGCTGGCTCAGCCCTGAGGCTGGGATTTCCAGTTCCTGGAAGTGGCCTGGGACTCTGAGGGAGCCCAGGTTCTGGAACCTTTGCTGGGGGTTCTAGCTCTAAGAATCAAGTATCCCTGCCTGGGGTCCTCCAGGCCTAGGATCCACCAAAAGGGGAGGTGATGGGAATGTATCCCTCTCTAACCCAGCTACCAGCTGTCACCTTCTCGAGGACCCTGGGGAGGATGAGGGAAGCTGATGCTGGATGTCCCTCAGGCAGGATGTTGGCAGACTATGGGTAGGGGATGAAGTGGGTGGAGAAGAGGAGAAAGGCCAACTGCTCACTTTGAGGAGGATCTGGAAACTTCTCCCTGCTTTTAACCAGCTTGTTCTGCCTCTGGGTATTCTCTTCAGCAACTTTTTTCCCTCTCTACCGGAAAGGTCTGGCTTCTCTCTTGCTTTATTTAGAACTATCTAGATGCAGTGAGCAGAGGTCTGGATGCTTGAGGACTCTGGCAGTTATTCCTCAGGGTCTCATCCTGATGTCCCCGGAGAACCTGTCTCAAAGCTCCCCACCCTCCAGCGATCCTCCCTGCTACTTTTTTCCCTTGTTTCTCCTTGCCTTCTGCCCTCCAGCCCCTATCCCTCCAACACATTCTCCCGCTGGGTCTGAGTCTTCTCCACTCACTCTGCATGCTGCCTGTCCTTAGCCATCAGCCAACAAACACTAGAACAAGTCCTCTCCCTTCACTGAGCTTCTGTTTCCTTGTCTATTAGGGAAGAGCAGATAAGGATGGGGAGTTACACTGTCTTGAGGGTCCCTGCTGGCCCTTCCCCTCTCAGATCTAAAGCATCTGACATCCTGGTGCCTGGGCAAGAGTATAAAAAGAAAAAAAAAAAAAAAAAAAGACTTGCCAGTATGTGCACCAGGCCACCTGATTCCTCCAGCCCTGGCCAGTTCGGCAGATGACAGGCAGGGACAGAGATGACCCCGCACCAATGAGGAAAGGGGGGCAGCAGGGAAAGGAGATGAGCTTTCAGTTCTGCCCTCTCCCTTGATGAGTTCAAATACTCTTGACAAATTCCCAAATGTTTCTACGCCAAGAATCCCCCAAAGGAGTGGCTCAGTGTCTGGGGTTACAGAGACTTTGTTACTCCAGCAAAGCATACTACAAGCCATTTACTGGTTTAATTTAATTATTTATGATAACACTTCAGAGTAAAAACTACACTTGTCAAAATAAAGGGGACTTTGTGCTGCAATGACCCAAATTTTATTGTTGCATTACTTAATGCAGCGAAACCTGGTAATCGGCACCAGATCTCCCCGCAACTTGGGCAAATCAGCACCGCATGAGGAGGACTGAAATGGATTACTGCTTCCTGGGGGAATTATTTTAAGCTATTTTAACAAAAAAAGGCATTTGGAGTCCATTCTCCCACCCTAGTCACATCTTCTTTCACCCCAAATAAACTGGTTTCCAGACACATTTGACTATTTGCCATTTCCTGTGTGCTCCTGGGTTGCCTGCTTTCCTTTGCACGTACAGTCCCCTCTAGGATTCCTTCCGCACCAACCACTAGCCGAAAGATTCCCATACCTGTCTGCACAACAGAATGCCCTGATGAATTTTAAAAAGAATTCAGATTCCCGGGACATACCATGAAGAACTCCCATGGAGGGTAAATGGCCCCTTCATTATGGCTCCATACCTGATGCTCCCACCCTATCAGGCATTTCCTCCTCTGGGGTTCACTAGCACTTTGCTCTTTTCCTATCCATCTCTACTGCTTGACTGTCAGTTCCTTGGGGCCAGGGACTTTATCTTCTACCTCTTACCCTCAGCAGAGCAGAGTGTCGGCCCAAGGGGGAGCTCAGTAAAGGGTGGCTGGCTGAGTGTAGAGCAGTATTTTGAGGAATTAAGAGATGGTGGGTTATATAGACCCAATGCAGGGCTCCAACTCTTGTCCTCACCCCACACTGGGCCCCTCTCTTTCCCATCTGATGCCTGTAGGACCACGTTCTTTGGCGGAAATGGCTTTTTTGACCAGATGACCTTTGAGGATGGGAAAAACCTGGCTGTGTTGTGTCATGGGCTTTGGATGTTGTGGATTCACAGCAGAATATAATGAGCATGTAATGTGGCTTTGCCATTCATAGCAAGTCTGTCAAGACCAGCTTTACATACTTATTAATGGCCCTGTCCCTAGTCAAGACTAAAAGATTCCCTCAGTCTCTGCCCCTCCATTATTCACAGCAGTGACAGTGGAGATGGTAGTCCAACTGAGCCACAGTCAAACCTACTGATGGGTGCCCCAAACAAGGATGGTTCTGTCCATTCATCCCATCTATCCATTCGTCCATCTATCTGTCAGGCATTTAGTGCCAAGTCAGGAGGAAGATATCAAAACAACAAACCAAACAAAACCAGGAGACCTGATCCCTGAGCTTAAGGGGCTTACAATCCAGGTGGGAAGACAGGGAGGAGTTGCAATTCCAGTGCTCCAGTCTTGTTCTTTGTCCTCAACTATTTGCATCTGTAACGAGAATAATCTCCCACCTTGTTCATGTTTCACATATACAAACCACCTTCCGTGGGAGCTGGTGGGGTTGCTTGCACAGAGAAGAGGATTCCTCAGCTTTGCCATCTCTGAACCCAATTTGGACCAGGTGAGTTCTGAGGTCCCTTTCTACTCCAGTCCAATGTGGGTTTGTTCAGGAGGAACTCCTGGTACAGGGACATCTGGAGGCTCACACTGTGCAAATTAATGGCTTCCTGGAGGTGGTTGCTAAGGAACCAGGAATTTTCAAGGAAAGCCTAATAAGCCATAGAATCAGACCTTGGGAACCACCCAAAGCAATGGCTTGGAACCCTGGCTGCATATTACAATCATTTGAGGACATTGGGGGGGGGGGGGGGGGGGGGAATAGGGCTTTCTGAAACCTGCTTGAAGCAGATCTCTAGGAGCGGGGCCTGGGTTTATTTCTTAAGAGCTCCTCAGGTGACTCCAATGTGCAGCCAGGGTTGAGAACCATCCATCTAACAAACTGGCCTATTCTATGTTTGAGTGACTTGAGGCCAAGAGAGGGATAACATGAGCAGAGACACATGTAGAGAGCAGCAGAGAACAGACACCGAGCTGCCAAAGCCCTGCTTTCGCATGGTGCCGCCTGCTTACCCTCCTCTGCAGAGGGTTACTCCTCTCTCCCGACTCACCTCCAGAGATGTGCTGTCCTTAGAGATCCCGCTCTGTGCCCATCTGAGGACAGCGCCCAGAGGTGCCGGCCTGGTTGTTTCTTTCCCCTCTGCGGGGGGCGGGGGTGCAGAGGGGCCGGCAGTGGCAGGTCATGGCAGGTGAGGCTGGGGCCTCCACCAAGGGCTTTCTCCAGAGTCAATTCGGATTGTTTGTCTTAAACAAACAGGGCTTGTTCCAGGAAGACGTTTGTCTGCATGGGGCAGCAGCACCATTCATCATGGTGGCTTTGGGGCTGGGGGCAAGATGTCAGCCTTCCAAGGCCCGGGCCCACAGGGAGCAGCCCCGGGGGCTGCTCCCCCAGGAACAGCCTGGAGAAGATGTCAGGAAAGCTAATGAGCAACCAGACAGCTGCAGCTTGTTAAAGAGCGCCCGGGGCCCATTGTAACTGAGACCTTTAAATATACATCATAGTCAAATAAACATCACCCTCCCAACGGCCAGTCCCTCCAGTGCCAGGCGAGTCCAACCCAGCCCACCCAGTGCCTCCCCTCCCTCCGTACCTTCCTCCTTCCTTGACTGGAAATGAATGGATTACAACTGGGAGAGATGGATACAGCCATGTTCTCGGATGAACCCCCTCCTGCCTCCCTCTAAATAGAAAAGGCTGTACCCCATTGCAGCCCCTATCACCCTGTTGAGGCCCCCATGGGTTTCAGCAAATCAGAATGCCACTGGAGGTCCCTGGACGACCTCTGTAGGTTCACATCCCCCACTGGTCAGAACTTTCCAGAACTGCCGAGCGCTGACCTGGAATGCTTGGTCCCCAGTTCTCTATTCCTATTCCGCCTTCAAAAACCACCTCAGAGGTCAGCGCCTCTGGGAAGCCTTATCAGACTTTCCAAGGCAGAGCTAGTTGCCTGTTTTCTGATCTGAAGGTGTCGGTCAAGCCTCTGGGAGCACTCTCACTCCAGGTGAATCTGGGAGGTCTGTGTTCCCTGCCACACTGAGCTCCTGGAGTGGAGGCCAGTTTTGATTCAGGTCTGAATCCCCAGAGATTAGCACAGTGGGTGACACCTGTGAGGTTTCAGTAAGTGTGTGCAGGATTGACCCCTGTGTCCTCATTAATGGTCTCATCCATGTGCCAGATGTGTTAGGTGCCAGGGTGACACATGGTAAGTAGGCTCTGTACAGAGTGAACTACTGCCCCGCAGCAAGACGTGCTGGCCGGGAGGAGCACGGACAGGAGGTCACTGGGCTGTTCTTAGGATAGTGTCTGGTTGGAGAGCGGCACCTGTAGGTTCATTAGAAAGGGATCCTCTTCCGGAGAAGTCTAATTTAAGAGTAGAAGAGTAGACATGGGAAGACAAATAGCACTATGAAGTGGAGGCCACCCTTCCCTACCAGAGCATTTCTCCTCCCCTCAGCAGGCCTCAGGTTACCACTCTACCCATGTCATCTCAGTGACCATCAAGTTCCCACAGTGCATGCTACCTCACCACAGGGTCCCTCACCTCCCCCAGAGGGCCCCACCTCACCACAGGGTCCCTCAGCTCCCCCAGCGGGCCCCACCTCATCACAGGGTCCCTCACCTCCCGCAATGTGCCCCACCTCACCACAGGTCACCCCTCACCTCCCCCAGTGGGCCTCACCTCATCACAGGGTCCCTCACCTCCCCCAGTGTGCCCCACTCATCACAGGGTCCCTCACCTCCCCCAGTGGGCCCCACTCATCACAGGTCATCCCTCACCTCCCTAGTGTATCCCACTTCACCACAGGGTCCCTCACCTCCCCCAGTGTGCCCCACCTCATCACAGGGTCCCTCACCTCCCCCAGTGTGCCCCACTCATCACAGGGACCCTCACCTCCCTACAGCACTCTCCACCTTTCTATGGTGTAGCAGTCAGCATTCTACATCATACTTCACCACAAATACCATAGAAGTTCTACATGTGGTGTTAAAGTCTGAAAGGCTGCTCCATGGTCAGCAAAGGCAACCTTATCTCCAAGCTCGCTGGACGTGGGGAAGGAATCAGAGAGAGAAAGGAGACCTAAGAAAAATCTAATAAAATGTGTTTCTGTATGCCCACAGGAAGAAGCTTGAGCCAGCCTAGCCACCTGTACCAGCCCTTTGACCTTCCTGATGTAGACATTCCAAAAACAACATGTGTGCATGCCAGTGCCCACACAAGTGTACAAAATGACATCTACTGAACATTTACGAATTTTTAGAGCCCTTGTGCTAGGTGTTTTATACACACACATACACACACACACACATACACACACACACATCGTACATATACATACACATTCGATCTTCATAAACCCCAGGGCATGATATAATTGAATTTATTTTACAGATAACGAAACTTGACCCTTGTCCAGGGTTATATACCTTCTAAATTGTAAAGCTAAAAGCTGGGATTTGAACCCTGGTCTCCCCAACCCCCAAAATCTGTTACCTCCAGAAAAATATAGGCTGAAGATCATTATCTTGTGTTGATAGTGAAAAAGGCAGAACACACCAGATGCAGTGGGCAGGTCAGACAACCTCTAATTAAAATTGGTTGTAGGCATCCTGCCCTGGGGATGATCCAGAAGCAGTCAACGCTGCTGACCGTGTATCTCTGTGTACGAAGCTTAGTAGAAAGAGGCATCACTGCCTAAGGGCGCCTGGTATTACCAGCCAGTTCCTCCAGGCCATAAGCAAACTGAACACCTCGTGCAAACTCACTCTCCTCAGGCTCCTTGCTCCCCAGTCAAGCCAGGCTGCCTCCAAAGCCTGGACCTCAGGTCAGCTACTTCAGTGTCGTCCTTTCCATGTCCCTGTCCCTTTGACCTGCACTGGGTCTGCAATACTGGTGCCCAGCACCAATCACTTCTGTCACCTTTCACATCCCTGCTTCCTGGTCTTAAAGGCCTGCAGAAGCAAAGTGAATGGAGTTCAAGGTCATGCTGTCAAACTGATTGCCTCTCCTCTCTTCTTCTGTTCCCTTGACCTCAAAACATTGGATACTTCAGAGCATGGGCTGAGACTTCCATAGCTCAGAAAACTTGATAGGGTCCAGCACAGTACCTGGTACACAAGCCAAGGGGTATATTTGGGGAAGCTGTTTACGATATAAAGACATTGAGCCCATCCCCAACTCCATCTCACTTCTGTTTCTCTGTCCACTCTTCCCACTTGCTCTGCTCTGAATACAAAATGTCCTTTGCACTTTTCCAAAAGTATCCCCATTGGGACCCCAGGCCCCCAGTTCTGCCTGCCCAGAGTCCTTGCACTCCCCTTATCCCCTATTTCCTTTCCTCCTCCTCTTCCTCCTTTCATAATTCTCCTTCTTTACTTTTTTGTAACTTTAGTATATGTGATGCCGAAGCAAACACTACTTTTTTGTAACTTTAAAAGATTGTTGTAAAATATACATCACATTTCATGGTTGAATTTACCATTTCAACCATCTTTCTGTGTACAGTTCTGTGGCATGAAGGACATTCACACTAGTGTGCACCCATCACCACTGTCCATCCCCAGAACTTTTTTCATCAAAACTGAAACTGCACTCATTAAACAACAACTCATTCCTCCCTCCCCCCTGCCCCACCCCAAGGCCTGGCCGCCACCACCCCACTCTCTGTCTTTTTGAGTTTGGCTACTCCAAGAATGCCATAGAAGTGGAATCATTCACTATCTGTCCTTCTGTGACTGGCTTATCTTACTTGGCGTAATATCTTCAAGGTTCATCCATGTTTCAGAATTCCCATCCTCTTTAAGGCTGAATAATACTCCATCGTATGTACACACCACACTTAATCTATTCACCTGTCAGTAGATTCATAGGCTGTTTCCAGCTTTTGTCTATTATAAGTGATACTATCGTAAACACGGGGACACCCACTTCTTAGCATCCTCTTAATCTTCACCTTTGTTTCTTTCCTTTCCGGTTGGAAACCCAAACCCACACAATATTCAGCAGCCACTAAGCCTGCCATTCCAGGACAATCCTAGTTTCATATCATTTTTTTCTGTTGTCCCAACAAGCCACAAAAAAGTCCCAGAAATTCCAATAAATTTTCTCCCTCTGGCTCTTATATCCAGAAGAGACACAAAAGTCCTTTATAAGATCTTGATTCCTCCCACCTCAGGGAATTTTATTACCTTTAAAAGTCCCTCCCACAGTCAATAAAGAGCGAACATCTTTGCTTGGCCCTGCCGCCTCCAGGTATCATCTCCGCCCTTCCATTTACTGCCAAACCTCTCTGAGCGTTCCACGCATGCTTCTTCCGCTTCCTCACCCCCTGCCACTTTCTTAATGCCTCGCAATCTGGCTTTGGCGGAACAACTCTCCTGAAGCTGCTCTTGCCAAGGTCACCAGTGACTTCTTTTCCAAACAAGTTTCAGTTGTTCTAGTTCTTGGTTATCAAATAAATACTTCATTGTAGAAAAATTGGCAAGTACGGCATAGGGCAGAGGAACAGAAGAAGGATTACCCATCCATGATCCCACCACCATGAGCAAAGGACTATGAGCATCTTGGCATACTTCCTTCCAGTCTTTTTTTCTTTATTCCAATCGTTTTCTTACTTTTCACTATCCTCATCTTTCCTGATCCCTGTAGCAGTTAAGGTTTTTAGATATTTACTTCCTGAAACTCCCTCCTCTGGCCTGCTTCTCTGGTGTCTGCTCCAGTCTTACTGCCCATTTCCTTTGCGAGCTGCTCTCTCACTGAATTTCACCAGAATTTAAATGGTGGCTGAGTTGAGGTCTCTGTAAGCATGACAGGATATGTCCAGCCAAGTAGTGACCCAGGGCAAGTTACTATTGGAATTCAAGAGTAAAGGTGAGGTGATGAAACCAGGCCACCAAAACCCAAAGTAGGGTGCCTCCACCCACTCATCTGCCTGACAAACTCCCATCATCCTTCAAATCCTTATCCAGAGGTCACCTCTTCTGTAAGGTCTTCCTTGACTCCCCAGGCAGGGCCAGTCACTCTCTCCTCTGTTCTTGTCTCTTTCCCCTCAATGTGCTATCCATCCTTCTATCAAAGAAGTAACCACCTTGCTTACAACAGATCTACTACCTGACTACATTCCTCTCTAGACTGGGAACTCCTTGAGGACAGGGACCCTCTGTTATTGACCCTTGAGTTCCCTGAATCTAGTAGAAAACCCACTAGCTAGTTCTGAGCCCAGAGAGGGCAGCTGACTTGTCCAAGGTCACATAGGCATCTATAGACCAAGACCACCAAACCCCAGGCCTGTGGAACTCCTGGTCCTGAGTTGTTTTTACAGCACTGTGACGGAACCATGATTATGTAGCACTAAGAGAAAGGGTATGGTATGCCTGCCAGGAAACCTTAGACACCCAGATGCAAAGGAGCAGTGCAGGACTGGTAAAGAATGTGAAGGAAAGCAGAGACATGATCAGAGTTGCATTGGTACCTGCCGCTATGAGAGGTAGTCCTCGATGCCCCATCACCCACCCCACCAAGACTAACTAGAGCTTCCTAGATTTTAACTCTATATTCCAGGAAACCCTCCCTCAAACATAAGTCAATATCTCTCCCCCAACACACACACACACACACATACACACACCATTTTTTTTAATGTTTAATTTATTTTTGAGAGAGAGAGAGAGAGAGAGAGAGAGAGAGTGTGTGTGAGCAAGCGGGGGAGGGGCAGACAGAAGGGAAAAAGGATCCAAAGCAGACTCTTGACAGCAGTAAGCCTGAAGCGGGGGCTCAAACTCATGAACTGTGAGATCATGACCTGAGCCAAAATCAGATGCTTAACCAACTGAGCCACCCAGGTGCCCCTAAACACAAAACATTTTCAATACAGAAAGGAAACAGCATGAGCCAAAGCATGGGAATGAGCTAGTGTCTGGTGCTAGAAAACGACTAATCAACCAGCAGCTTCTGGGATAACCCTTCTTGGCTTTAAGAATGCTCCCAAGATGCTCCTGAGTCATGCCCCAAACTTCCTTTCCATTGATACAGCAGTTCCAGCAACATGACATTGGTGTCACGTGGGGCATGGGGTGATGGAAGGATCGTGGGCTTTGAAGACCAAACAATCAGAGCTGAAATCCTGGGTCTGCCTTTTACTGGCAAGTCAGCTAATGTTTGGAGCCTCAGTTTCCTCATCTGCAAAACAAGGATTATAATACCTACCTTGGACATCATTGTAAGGATTACATGCAGTAATCTTGAGCATGTAGTAGCTGTTCAATAAGTGGTATGCAGCATCAACCTCCTTGTAATTACTATTTTGAGGGCTCCTATTTTCACACATAAACAATGCTGGTGAACAACCCGGTCATCGGAGGGAGTTAGTCAGATTTCTCTGTCCTCACCCTTTGCCTTGTCTATTTTTGCTGAGATGAGAGGGAATCAGAAGAGCCAAGTCTTTAAAAAAGAGAGAGAGGGGGAGAAAAAACTTAAACTTTACCGGAGGGGAGGTCGGGGGAGGGGTGAAATTGGGTAAGGGAATTAAAGAATACACTTATCAAAAGAAAAAAAGTACATTTATCATAATGAGCACTGAGTAATTTATAGAATTATTGAATCACTATAGTGTACACCTGAAACTGATATAACACTATATGTTAACTAACTGGAATTAAAATAACAACTTAAAAAAGGAAGAAAAAAGAAGACCTGGATCCATGCTCCACTTGGCTATATGACTTTGAGCAAAGCATTTCAAACTCAGTGTCTCCACCTTTAAAATGGGGCTGGTAACTGCTACCCCAAAGGCTTGTTGGGAAGATTTCATGATGCATGTGTGTTAAAGCCGCTGCCAACATACTCCAAGTCCTCAGTCAAGGTTTTGGAAATCCTTGCCCTCCCGGCCACCCTCCCAGAGCCCGGCGTGCGGCCCAGGGCTGGGCTGCGGGTCAGAGATGCTGGGTGGTGCGTGAGGTGGGGTGGAGGCAGAGCCCAGAGCTGAATGCACAAATAACCAGCCATCCCAGTCTTGCTTCAAAAGTCCTGGTCTCCAACCCTTTAATCATGGAGCTGCTCTTCCCTGGCTAGCCTCCAGGTCCCGCCCGCCCACTTCCCAGGCAGAGAAGTGCCTGTGAAGGGAGCCTGGGTCTCTGCAGCCTGCCTGCTTTGCATGGCATGCTCACTAATAGATCCCAGGAACCCAGGGGGCTGTCTCTCAGCTGACTCACCCTGTACCCAA